CAGAGAATAAGATATTAGTTTAACACGAGACCCAAAAGCTAAATCAGGACCAGATAATGAAAGTCAAGAAATACCTTCAAGGAATGCAAACTTTATACCACAGGTAACTGGGGAGTGGGAGACTATGATCCAACTCTGTTCAGTTTAGATGGTTTGCTTCATATAATGATGCTGGGAACCCAAGTCGCCCAAACTACTGTCATCATTGCTAAAAATCCAGGCCTTAGAATAGCTATGGTTCCCCTAAATTAATAAGGACTAGACCTATAGCTGGGAAGCTATAGGACTTTAAGATGCTCATGATTTTTTAATTAAGTGGTCATCAGAAAGATTTTAAATGGAAAAGTTGGTTTCTGTCAGGTTAAACTTAGCATGTGCTCCATAGTTCTCTTCATTCTCATTGGAACTTAGGTGAAATTTGCCCAAGACACAGTTAATGCAAAATCACCATGATTCCTTCTCACCCCATACCATACTCCCCTCCCCAACGTACTTATCGGATTTTCAACCTGATTCAGTCCCTTCCTGATTAACTATTCTATGTCTATGACAAGTCTCTCTAAAAGGGTTTCAGATCATTAGGGATGCTAAAAAATCTTGTGTCTCAAAAGGCTTAGCAGAAAAGATTATGAGCACAGACTGAACATTACCAGAGAGCAGGGCTGCCTTACTTTGGGCTGCCCCAAAGGTCAATGAGCTGTACAGGAAAGTAGAGAACTTTCCTTTATGTGCACAGCACCACAAAGTGGGGCTGTCAGCTTGGCCCTATCCTCAAGCTACGTGCATTAAGTGAAATTCTCACCTTTAATCCATCACTCAACCCAATAGGGGGTTGAGATGATGGTATAAGATATCAGGCAGCATAACAACTAGCTAGCTACAGAACTATCTCATTCCACACACAATTTATGTAAGTACAAGTTCATTGTTTTTTCAAGACCACCAAGTGACATATACCTAGGACAACAAAAATGTACTAACTCCGTAAAGTTGCTCCCTGAAACTAGTTACTTACCTGTGTCTGCCTCTCAACATTCTTATCCATGCCAGGTCTTCAGTCCAGCCTTCCAGGGATCTCAGTCTATAAATCTTAACTTAGAGAATTTCTGACATTTGACTTAATCCCCTTTGAATCCACTCAAGGAAAACTTCAGAACAATTTCTGCTCTGAGGGTCATTCAAGAGTCAGCTACACCATCAGGGCACCCAGGCAAAGGCTCAAGACATAAAGCAGTAAAGGTATAATGCCAAGGACACTGTTTTCCAAAGGGCATTTGTACCTTCATGTACTCTTTCAGTCATTTTTGTTAAATGCTCATGTTTTCTGTTTTCAGTGCCCCAGAGATAGGAAAGATCTTTAGAAAAATCACCTTTTCCCATATAATATTCCAATTCACTTTTTTCTTTCTTCTCTTTTTTTTTTTTCAAAAGAAAGTAAAGGCCTTTTCAGCCGGCCTTTTGAGGGTGAGCTCTGAACTGAGGTACTGATCAAGGACTTTCTGCAAGTTTAATGTGAAGATTGTGGCTTCAGAAAACAAGAAAGGCTTAGTGGAACAGATTAATAAAACTTCTTCAACTAGACTTTAAGATTGTCATACAGTCTGACCTTTTACTAAAGTATACTAACTATAAACTACTTATAAAAAATAAAATATTATGGGGAGTGGGGAAGGCCCTGAAAGTCAGTATGTGTTTATAAAATAAATCTTGAGTACTATCACTGACATCTAGCTCTGTAATCAATAATAAATCTAAATACTCTATTCGAATTATCCCTAGTTCTTTAAAGTATGAGTTGACTAAATAAAACTAGCTTCCTAGCCACACAGCTTACTCCATGAGTAAATGTTTTAGCACCCTCTACTGGCCACTTTTTACATCTAATCCTCTCATAACTTCCCCCACAATGCGCAGCTGCTTCTCAGAGGGCAGATGGTGGCTGCAGCATGTCACCCCATTCCTTCCTCAGAACCACCTGTGAAACAGCTGAGCCAGGAGCCACTGCCACACAAGAAAAGGATGAATCCTGAAGTGCTCTCCTGACACTGCTTGTGCATGAGTTATGTCTTCACTGACAGATTTCACAACTACCCTGGGTCCAGGGTTTGATCTGCATGCACCTCCCGGAACCAACCACAGGCCTCATTTCTACAATTACAGATGCTCCCATTGCCTGAGCCCTGCCGAGACCCCATATCAGCCCCCTGCCTGTCTGCTTCATCTAGCCTCTCTGCGGGGACGCGGGTATCTGGAGAGACCAGCTCACCTATCACCTGGGTTAACAGAGGACAGAAAGAAAAACACATTTGGGAGGCTTGTTTTCCCCCACAAGCTCACAGATCTGATGCCAATCAATTATTTGTCCTTAGGTTTATATTAACCAGGTTTTTTGTTGTAGGGGAAGGTACTGGAGGAGAGTTTCTCCTCTTTCATAGCCTAATGACAAAGCAAATTCTAATAATCCACAGTACCTCAGAGAAAGTAAGGCTCCTTCACTAGGATCTAACATAAGCAACCAGGAACCCTTTAAGCTCTCATTATGTGGTCCACTTTCTTTCAGAAAGGAAAAAATTAGAATCAGCATGGTATTCATTATTCAATAACAAAAGGAAAGGATAGGTGAAGAGAAGAGGTGAGACTATAAAATGTGGACAGTTTGCTCATGCCCAAATCTTGCTAGATCAAGCTACTGCTTACTGATTAATAAACACTTATTGGTTTGACATCAGTCATGTACTGAGTACAAAATACTCTTTAGAAGGAGATTTGTAAAGGGACTAGAAAGTAATTCCTTCCATCAAAAAGCTCACAATTTGGCTGAAAACATGTCAAATGAAATAATTTAAAACTGACATAGGGTCATTTCCATAAGTAAAAATATACACTGAAAATTCCATAAATACATATACATACAAAGTCCCCTATCTCTCTCTCTCACATATATGGAAAAAAAAGATCAAAATATTCATAACAGGTATCTCTCTGGTAGAATTTCAAATAATCTGGATTTTTTTTCTTATTTATCACTACTGTTTGAATTTCCTACAAGGAGAAGGTAGTATCTTAACAAAGAAAATGTAAATAAATTAACAATCAATTTATCAAGGGTTTGAGCAGAGGAACCTGCTTATGAATATAATACTGTACATACATCAACAAATGGTGCTGGGATAATTGGCAAGCCACATGCAGAAGAATGAGGCTGGATCCTCATCCCTCATCTTATACAAAAATCAACTCAAAGATGGATCAAAGACTTAAATCTAAGACCTGAAACCATAAAAATTCTAGAACATCGGAAAAACTCTTCTAGACACTGACTTGGGTAAAGAGTTCATGAACAAGACCCCAAAAGCAAATGTAACAAAAACCAAGATAAATACATGGCACTTAGTTTAACTAAAAAGCTTCTGCACCGCAAAAGAAATAGAGTAAACATACAACCCATGATGGGAGAAAATTTTCACAAACTATGTATCTGACAAATCACTAATATCCCGAATCTAAAAGGAACTCAAACAAATCAGCAATAAAAAAAATAAATAATCCCATCAAAAAGTGGACAAAGGACATGAATAGACAATTCTCAAAAGAAGATATACAAATGGCCAACAAACATATGAAAAAAATGCTCAACATCACTAATGATCATGGAAATGCAAATCAAAACTACAAGATACCACCTTACTCCTGCAAAAATGGCCATAATTTAAAAATCAAAAAATAACAGATGTTGGCATGGATGTAGTGAAAAGGGAACACTTTTACACTGCTGGTGGGAATGTAAACTAGTACAACCACTGTGGAAAGCAGCATGGAGATTCCTTAAAGAACTAAAGTAGAACTACCATTTGATTCAGCAGTCTCACTACTGGGTATCTACCCAAAGGAAAAGAAGTCATTATATAGAAAAGACACTTGCATACTCATGTTTATAGCAGCACAATTCGCAGTTGCAAAAATATGAAACTAGCCTAAATGCCCATCAACCAACGAGTAGATAAACATACATATACATATACACACACACCATGGAATAGCACTCAGCCATAAAAAGGAACAAAATAATGGCATTCACAGCAACTTGGATGGAGGTGGAGACCATTATTCTAAGTGAAGTAACTCAGGAATTAAAAACTAAATACTGCTAAAAGTGGAAGCTAAGTTATGAGGACACAAAGACATAAGAATGATATAATGGGCTTTGGGGACTCAGGGGTTAAGAGTGGGAGGGGGTTGAGGGATAAAAGACTAAACATTGTGTACAGTGTACACCACTTAGGTGACGGGTGCACCAAAATCTCAGAAATCACCACTAAAGAACTTTTCCATGCAACTAAACACCACTTGCTCCCCAAAAGCTTCTGAAGTTTTTTAAGTTGCAGAGAAAATAATAGTAATAATAATCTTTTCTAAATAAATAGTGTTTTATTCTCCTGAAAAAAAAATTGTACATACAGTATAATCTATGAACTTACACAAAAACTCACAAAAGGGCTAGGCGCGGTGGTTCACGCCTGTAATCACAAGCACTTTGGAAGACCAAGGCAGGCGGATCACCTGAGGTCAAGAGCTCGAGACCAGCCTGGCCAACATGGCAAAACCCCAACTCTACTAAAAACACAAAAATTAACCAGACGTGGTGGTGGATGCCTGTAATCCCAGCTACTTGGGAGGTTGAGGTAAGAGAATCGCTTGAACCCAGGAGACAGAGGTTGCAGTGAGCCGAGACCATGCCACTGCACTCCAGCCTGGGCAATAAGAATGAGACTCCATTTCAAAAAAAAAAAAAAAAAAAAAATTCACAGAAAAAATACTTGAAGAAAATTATTAATGACTATGAATTTTGTCATATGTTTTCTCATTTTCTAGTACTTTTATAATAGAAAGTACTAGATCCTTCCTTAAAGAAATTCAAATGTTAAGCAATCATTCACTCTTGCTATTAAAAAAAAAAAAGTAAAAGTGCTCTTAAAATAACCATTTACTTAATGGCATACCTGGAATAAGTGCTGTGCTGATAAGGATGTCTACCTCCTTGCATTGTTGAGCAAAGAGTTTCATTTCAGCTTCAATGAATTCTTTGGACATCTCTTTTGCATATCCTCCTTGTCCCTCACCAGATTCCTTCAAGTCCACCTCCAAGGGCTCAGCACCAAGAGACTTGAACTGTTCCAAAGCTGCAGCTCTAGGGTGATTGTTAAAGTGGAAACAGTAGTTATTTCAGGCCCTAATAAAGAAGTCAAGATCATCATTTACATCTACCTTTTTAAGAACAACAAACTATATATTCAAAAATCAACAGTCCCTTTGATGTCATACTTGTTTCAAATATTTTTCTAAAGGCAAGTAACATATTTAAGATAATATTCTTTTCGGAAAGAAAAAAAACTACTGAGAATTCCAACTTCTACTTAGTTAAGTTGCAAAAGCAATTACACAATTGCCAACTCCAGTCATCAACTGTGTTCCTTATGACCCCGGTGTGGATGATGATGTGATATCTGATATATATCAGGATTTGATATCATTCAAATCATTCAAGATGAGGTTTTTCACTTGAAAATATTCTGAATTTGTTCTTATTAGAGACTTTTCCCACAAAAATAACTCTTACATGTAAAATTATTCTAATAAAGTAACTTTTTTGCCCCCCACCCTGTCCTCATTAAATTGTATTTGCAAAAAAATAACCTATAAATAGTAGTAAAGGGTAAAATGTGAAAAGCCAACACATTTAAATTTTATAAAAATAAATTCAGTTTTAAATAAATAAATAAATGCTACCCAAGTACTGTCTCCTGGTTGGAAAACCAGAGCCAACAAAGACCTCAGCTCTGTGGTGGACATGCGTGTAACTCGTCAATATCCATTCCACTGTGGTAAATCCCAAACCCACCTAATGACAATAATCAATCAGGGTACTTGTTAAAAGTTCAAATTCCCAGGTCCCTTCCCAGACCCACTGAATTATAATCTCCAGCAAGCAGGCCAGACGTTATATTATTTTTAGCAAGAGCTGCAGTTCATCCTTGTCATCGTGGAAGTTTGGGAAACCATGATCTGAGCCAATAAATCCCTAGCAACCATCATGTTCAAGAGTATGCATAAAGGGTAGGACATACAGTCCACGGTTGAGCAAGAGGTTCTCCCTCTGCTGGCTTGAGCAAGGAATCTGGTAGCCCAGATTGCCCCCTGGAGGTAAAGTTGCAACCACAAGTGGAATCAGCCTTAGGAGGAAGCCAAAGCCAAGGACGGCAGAGAGGAGTGACAGAAACTGGTCCTTGATAGCACCAAGGAGCATCTCACTCTAATGTGAAAAGGAAGTCATTCCCCTGGATTCTCAGTTAGAAGAAATAATACATTTTCTTATGGTTTAAGCCAATATGTGTGTATGTACACACACATATATATACACATATATATATGCACACATATATATGTATATAAAATAATCCAAATTTTGTTCAAAAGTCATATATATATATATATATATATATATATATAAAAACTCTATCAGAAATTATACCAAAATATCACTAGCAATTATATCTGGCTGATAGAATTATAAAAAGTATTTTCACTTTCATCCTTATGTTTCTCTGTATTTTTCAATAATGAATTCACATCATTAGAAATATAAGTTATTTTTAAATCTGTGTTGTTATACCTTTGACCATAAAATAATCTCATCATTTAAAAATATTACAACATATTAGCATTTAAAATGTGTATATCTTTTGACCATTTATCTAAGGAATTTATCTGGGGAATTGGTTCCATGACCCCACTCAGATATCAAAATCCACGGATGATCAAGCCCCTTATAAAAGACAGTGTAGTATTTGCACATAGCCTACATACATCTTCCCATAGCCTACATACATCTTCCCAAATAGCTTAAATCGTCTCTAGATTATTTATAATGCCTAATAAATGTAAATGTTATATAAATAGTTGTTATATCATATTATTTAGAGAATAATGACAAGAAAAATGAAATTGGTACTAGCTCAGTACAAACACAAACATGTTTTCCGAATATTTTTGATCTGGTTGAAACCACAGATAATAGAACATGGATACAGGGCTTACTGTATGTACATGTAAGTGTATATTGACCTACAGAGTATTGTGTAAATATAGCAAAAAATGTCCATTTATAGAGGCCTAGTTAAATAAATTGCTGTACTTCTATACAATGGAATCTTCTGCAGCCATTAAAAACATTAATATGTAAGGAAAGATCTTCATGATCTACTGTTAATTGAAAAAAGGTAAATGGAACAGTAAAATTACATTTTTAATTAATATGTAGAAGAGGGAACACATGAAAAAAATTACCACTGGGCAGTGAGACTTTAGGGTATTTTATTTTCTGTTCTTGTGCTTTTTCATATTTTTCTGAATTGGAAGAATAATCATGTACTATTTTATGACAGGAAAGAAAGCAAGGTTTTTATATATTTAAACTTTGTGATAAAGGCATTAGGCAAGATAATCACTATTGCTAAGAGGAGTATCTTCTAGTTATTGTTTGAAAGAATTCAAAAGTCAGACCATTTAAATACCATTGGGCAATGAGCTGTCTGTAAGTTTTTAGGATATTTAACTGAAAATACATACCACTCAATCTTCCAACAAGAATTTAAAATCAAGTATGTTTTGGATTTCATATTTATAATATGAAACCAACCCCATCTCAAAATAGTGACTACAGTAACTAATGAGCTATAATTCTTAGAAAAGTATTCAATCAGTTCAGTCACATCTTTCTTCATTGTATACTTGAGATACCTGTATAACGAACTTAATAAATTATAAAGAAAGATTGAGTTTTTGTATTTTTCTAATATAAACAACAGCCATATTCTAGCTGTTGATTCTGTACACAATCTAAAAAATGACATCAGTATACTAAATTCTCAGTAGTTCACCCACCACCAAGTTTCAAATCATCTTTAGGTCAAATACATACATTTCCATTTTAATACTACTGTCCACTACAATGAAAACTTAACCTGCTTTCTACTGGCTTGGAGGTCTTGAGAAAACTTCACATCAACAAACAGTAAAAATAAAATGACAGGATCAATGGCATGCTTAACTCTAGCTATGCTTGGTTTGTGTCCTGGTTACTTTGGAAATGACTTATTTTCTCATTTCAGCAGGACAGCTTTTTATCAGTATATCACTTTAACTCTAGATAAAGACTATTAACCATATTCTATGGAACATTGTTTACTCTGAAAAGTCACATTCTTCCAACTTTGAATGGTTGCTTTCTTTTCTTTTTTGATCATTCTATATTCAGGATTAACAGTAGTATTATTCCTCCAGTACCCTCAGCTGATAATAAATAACTACATTTTTCAACCTCAAAAATTATTAAAACACATATTAACAGTACTCAACTGACATTTAATAAAATCCAGTGTCTAGTGTCTTCTGAAATGAAGAAGAATTTTAATCAAACTTCTCTTTAAAGACAATCTAGGAAAATGTGTATATGTCTACGTTAAAGAAATACAGAGTATATTTCTTTATAAATCAAGTACTTTCACCCAGGGGCTCAAAAATTATCAGAAAAATATATGCAGCTCTATCTTAACATAAAACGCAGGAAGCATAAATAATGCAGTAATAATAATTCACATGTTGCTAGTCAAGTGAAGTGCCAATCAGCTTTATTTGCTTCTATCCATTCAAGGTAGGGCATACCCCCACTCAGCCTGCTGTTTTACTCTTTCTTCAGATTCACAAACATCTTTGTTCATGCCCTAACTAGTGCCTAAAAGCATTCTGAACAGAAATAGGTAAAGCAACATGTTAGAAACTCAGGATAGAAAGAATTCTGGTCCCACTGTCAATCCACCAAAGAAAACAGAGTTGTGAGTTGTTAATTTAAGTAATACATTTTCACTTTGCACTAACTTTTAAAAAGTGGAAACATTTTTAAATGGAAAGAGCTTATAGACCAGTTGCAATGTGCTACTTCAGTTTATAAGTTTTAAGGAAAGTGTAACATGCCCCTGAAACAAAATGTTTTTACCTTAACATCAGTCACTAGTAAAGCACTCACCTTGTGTCAAATCCTCGAACGATTGCACCCATCGACTTTGCTGCGCCTGCAGAAGCAAGCCCAGCAACACCACCACCAACTATCAGAATCTAGAAAAGAAGATAGACCCAGTTATGTATTAAGGCTCATTATCAACTAATAATGAAAAATCATCGGCTAACAATTATTGGTGCCTAGTATAAGTTTAGCATCAATAAATGGCGGTGCTGATGGTGATGATGATGATCAGCCCTTAGTAACTGTATGGAGCACATAGACTATTCTTTAACTGAACCACCACTGATCTTAAAATTTTATGAAAGAAACAACTGCTAGCAAAGGCCAACAACAATTCACTAAAAATAGCCTAATAATCAGCATATCCATGTAAAAACGACCTAAGCATGATCAGCATTACATATGTTGAAGATTAACAGATTCTTTTCCACTGTCTAAAAGTTCCTTCTACTGAAAGTCCCAGTGTGGCAATCTAACTACCTTTACCCTACCAAATTATAAGGTTTTTCTTTGTTCATCAAACATCAAAATACATTTCAAAGATGGGTACAACATTGGTGAAACATCTACCCCAACCTCTATTTTGAGCCAAAATGCTTCTGAAAGGAACAGCTGATGAGCAACCACAATTCTGAACCATTTTGAGCAACTCTCCCTAAGTCTGAAGCAATGAAACTAATGTCCCTAATCATGAAGGATCAGCAACAAGAGAACCAAAGAATTCCTCAGAAACAAGAGTCTCCCCCGCCTTCTAAGAAACAAAGTAAGAACAATATTGTCTCCAGTCTGGAATGGGCCTTCCAGAGTAAAGTCCTGTTATATATCCCATAAACAGTCAATTGAAAGCAACACTTTGTTCCTGTAGAAAAAAATGCCACCCACAGAATCAGTGAAGCTTATAAATTGACACCCACCCATCATGCCCACATGTCCTTCTGCCTTTACAAAGACAAGGCTAATCAGACTGTGCACCAGTGAGCTCTGGGCAGTGTCTCAAAGGCCACGTGAATTGATCTTGATAATGATGCTGTGTCTGGGGACAAGGGGAAGTCTATAGGAAAGGGGGCAAAGAGTGACCAGAGGGAATAAGCAGGCTCTAGGCTCCAAAGCACCAACCTCTTCCACACAGAAGCTCCATCGCCACTGAAAGAAAGAGAGAGAGAGAAAGAGAGAAGAGAGAAAGAGAGAAGAGAGAAAGAGAGAGAGAAAAAGAGAGGAGAGAGAGAAAGAGAAAGAAAGAAAGAGAGAGAAAGCAAGAAAGCGAGAAAGCAAGAAAGAAAGAGTAAATAAAAATAAGTAAAAGTCATATGACTTGGCCAAGTTATCCTGAATCAAGACATAACAACAACAACCACAAAAAAACCCATACTTTAAAAAACAGAATCACACAAAAAGAGCAGATCTTACTATAGAAATTTACTTTTTCTTTCTAAAGCATGGAGTAAAGAAAAAGACACAGAAAATAAGAGTCAGAAAGCTTAGGTCAAAATCCTAACTCTGTTACTAACTTGTTCTGGGTGATCTTGGGCAAGCTGCTTATCATCTGCAATACAGCAATCAAAGTGCCTTCTCAGACTGTTGTTACATTAAACAATGGAATCTAACCAAAGCACTCACTGCTAACTGTTACACTGTAGGCATATGCTCAAGAAATAGTACAGGGCCAGGCAGGTGGCTCAGGCCTGTGATCCCAGTGCTTTGGGAGGCCGAGACAGGAGGATCCCTTGAGCTTTGGAGTTCAAGACCAGCCTGAGCAACATAGTGAGATCCTGTCTCTATTAAAAAACAAGAAATAAAAACCTAAAAAGAAAAAAAAAAAGAAATAGTATGGGAAAGGGCAGGAGAAAGGAAATAACTTTAGGAACATTGTTTGTGTTCACTCATATAACTTGCTCCTCCTCTGGCCTTCCCCATCTGAGTAAAGGCAGTAACTATGCACAATAGTTTAAGCCAAAATGGGGAATTTGTCAACTCCTCCCTTTGCACATATTTCCATTTCCAATTCATCAACAAGTACTACTGGTTTTAACTCCCAAAGATCTCCCCTAATCCAGATAAAATCCTTCACCTTTCTCTACATTTCTGGTGCTGTCATCTTCCCAGGTACAACCAATTGCTGACAGATCTTGCCTTCACCCTACTATCCATTCCCCCACAGCCAACAGCCACATGATTTTTTTTAAATACTAAACCAAACATTTCCCTCATCTGCAGGAGAATCCAAAGTCTATAACATGACCTAGAAGAGAGGCCCCACATGATCCAGCCTAGACCTTCCTTTCCGACATCATCTCAGATCACTCATCTTGTTTACCACACTCCAAGACCAATGGTCTTTATTTTTCCAGAACCCAAATACTGGAATCCTAAATGCTTGGAATCCTTAAACTCTTGTTTCCTTCTTCCATGCTTCAAATCTCAGTTCAAAGGTCAGACGAAGCTTCCCCATACCTCTACTAAAGTGACCTGTGCCCATTACTGTCATATCATACGGTTCATTTTTTCCTGTGTGAAATTATCTCATGGCCAGGTGCAGTGGCTCATGCCTGTAACCCCAAAATTTTGGGAGGCCAAGACAGGAAGATTGTTTGAGCTCAGGAGCTCCAGATCAGCCTGGAGTGAAAACTCCAGGCAGAGTGAGAACCTGCCTCCAACAAAAAACCAAGTCAAAAATAATAATAATAATAAAATAAAATTCTCTCAGGTATTTATTTGATCTTTTGTCTCCTCACTGTGACCCCCACTGGAGTGTAAGTCTTGTGCAGCAGGGATTTTGTCTTGTTCACGCCATATCCCCAGCTCCTAGAACAATGCCTCACATATCATTGTCTTGGGCCACATATAAAATATACTAGCTAACACCAACAATTGCTGATGAGCCAAAAAAATAAAATGGCAACAAAAATCACATAATGTTTTAAGAAAGTTTACAAATTTGTTTTGGGCCACACTCAAAACCATCCTGGGCCACATGTGGCCCACAGGCTGTGGCTTGAACAAACTTGTTTTAGCAGGTAAGAACCCTCCATGTTTAAAGGAAATCCAAATAAAAGACTGTATTATGCAATCCACCTTAATGAGCTGTACCAGTGCCTTCAATTTCAGAAAATTATTTCTGTCATGTAGCCAAAGTCCCTTAAGCTGCAATTTAAATTTTCAGTAAAGATAGTCACTTTTCCACCTTTTAAAGGCTGATTCTCTTTTCTTTAAGCGTCTTGTCTTTTGTTTCACTTTTTAATATCTTTTATTCACAGCTTTTCTCTCAACTTCCACATATATCTAGAAAGATTATAACCAAAGTAGACTCGTGCATCAAAGCATTCAGTCAATTTAAGAACAGCATCGAACTTCTGGCCACTATGCGTGCCAGATATTTTTTTATGATCCTGAGAAAGAAGTCAAAATTTAATCATTGTACATCTCACATCTGCGTTGTTTGCTCACACTTTCTTGCTAAGTATTCTGGCCTCCACTTAAACCGCATTTTTTTCACCTGGCCTGTTTTTCAAAACAATATAATTTCTCAAAGCTGCTATCAGCTTTTGTTTTAATTGTTTTCCAGATTTATTTTGTGTGAGAACTCTGGGCTTATATAACAAAGTACTTAAGAGCAGGAAGCACCAGTAAACCTGTACCCTACAGGTAGGTAAATGACCACATTTAAAGTCAAGTTTCCTGTTCCTAGTGCTATGGTTTGGATGTGCTTTGTTCCAGTGAAAACTCATGTTGACATTTGATCCCAAATGTGGCAATATTAGGAGGTGGGACCTAGTGGGAGGTGTTTGGGTCATGGGAGTGGATCTCTTATGAACAGATTAATGCCCTCCCTGGGAGTGGGGGGTGGAGTTCTCATTCTGTGGGTTGATAGAAGGGCCAAGCTCCCTCGGTTTCACTCTCTTGATTCCTCTCTCACCATGTGATCTTTTCTGCACATGGTTGCTCCCTTTACACTGTCCACCATGAGTTGAAGCAGCCTTGAGGCCCTCACCAGCTGCAGCTGCCAAATCTTGAACTTTCCAGCTACCAGAATTATGAGCCAAATAAACCTCTTTTTTTAAATAAATTACCCAGTCGCAGGTATTCTCTTTTAGTAACACAAAATGCACTAAGACACCTAGCCTCAGGATTTCCATTGTTACTGAGTGTACATAGGATTGAAGGATCACAATATGACCTCCTATTCTTTCAGCAAGCCATTGTCACCTCTCATCGTTAACTGCTCCTTTCTGCTCTCAGTGTGGATTAAAGAAACTGGCACCCTTTCTCTCTGCCAAATATCCTGATTGCACCACCTCCCATTTCCTGTCTTCTTGATCCAAAAATTGACAAGAAGTAAAGAAACCAAAAATACCTTGTATATGTGCCAAAATGTTGCAAAAATTGAGAAACCCAGAATCTTCAGAATGGTATCTTGAATATTTGTTTTAAAAAATTAATAATATATAGGCTACAGAGGACAAGTTATCCAAAATTCTTTTTAAAATTCAAATTAGTAAGTTAAAAAACAGAAAAGACTAGAACTTTCAGAAAGTCAAAGTTCATTTTTTTCTAGCAATCTTAAAACGTTAAGCTTTGAGGCTTCATGAAATATTTATACACACCAAAAAGTCATCAATGTGAGGTTAACATATAAAAATTTTTAAATAACTATATTTTGAGACTATACATCCCCTTTCCTTTAATCAATGCATATTATAAAGAAACATTAAAAGTTGTACCTACCTTAGCTGGAGGAACTTTTCCAGCAGCTGTGATCTGACCAGTAAAAAAACGTCCAAAATGATTTGCTGCTAGGACAACAGCCTTATAACTTTAAAAATAAATAAATAAATAAATAAACAATTCCATAAAAGGAGAGATCTCAGATTCATATATCATCATAAGTTATCAATGAAGTTTTATCAAAGAATAATCACTAATATTTATATAGTATGTACTATATGTCAAAAACAGTTCTAAGTGTTGTATATATACTTGCTTCTTTAATTTTCACAGGAAGCCTATGGATAGGTACAATTAGTATCTTCATCCCATAGGTGAGAAAACTGAGATATAGATTGAGAGACTTGCCCAAGGTCACTCGGCTAGGAAATTGTAGAGCCAGAAGTCTAACATAGGTAGCCTGCCTACAGAAGCACTCTCTTATCCATTATGCACCCACCCTCTTCATAACAAGTACTGTAGAACATAATAGAAAATATAATGAACGAAAGATAGGAAAATACTAACAATGGTTTTCTTTGGGTGCTAGGACTATACATCCTTCACACTTACTTTACTATATTGTCCAAATCTTCTTTGATGACTAGGTAGTGCTTAGGTAATGGGGGGAAAATCTTTAAAATAAAAAAATTAGGTCATCCATAGGCTTGTACATAATAAGATTCCAACCTCAGAGAACAGAAGAAACACTTCCCTTGATCTCTAATGTTTCAAAGTATGGGATTTTCAGACATACTGACTGATTACCTTTGCGATCTTGGGCAAATTTTTATAATTTTCTAAACCTTGGTTTCCTCATCTATAAAGTGAGGACAAAAAGCATCTATCTTTTAGGGTCGTGAGGACTAAATGAGATAATGCAGGTGAAACACTTGGCATAAAGCCTATCACATAGAAAATGCTCAGTGAATATTAAGTGTTTTAGCCAAAGAAACAAACTATTTAATACATCAAATAATTTTCATACTATTTTATATGTAAAAGGCACTTTTGCATTCTTACTTGGTAATATATACACTGGCTCAATATTATAAAGCAACTATTAAAACTCCCCTGCTAGGTAACAAGAAAATCTTCTCCCTGATCATATTTTTACATAATAATACTTGATACAATAAGTGATGCAAAAACATATAAAGTCACTATTATTAACTTAATCATACTGGAGCAAAAAATAATACTTTAGAGATTATATTATCTGTTGCTCTTCTGAATTCAAGTGACAGCATTTTTTAATGGGCAAATATGACAAAGATTCAAAGGCCACTGTAAGAAATTAATTGTAGAATTAATGCTCTAAAAGATTCAGTTGTTATTCTGAAAAATCACAAAAGGAGGTTGATTACACAGGAAATGTACAAGAAAACATTTATAGTGAAAAAAGTTAATAAATTGGACATTTTCTTCATGACAGCAAAAAAGTTCAGAATGAACAGTAATGAAGTGGAAGCAGCACATCTTCACTGTAATATGGCTGTGTGTATGAATGAGACAGATAATGATTTATCATACATTGTATGAATATGTATACTAGATGATTCCTTTTACACTATGCTCTCTGCACATATCAGTTCAGGACATAAAACAGTGATTCCTCAAATTGTGATCCCTGGGTCCCTGAAGGTTTAAACTTCAGACAAATCTGGGGCCATAGTGGATGAGATGGAGAGTAGGAATGTTTCTACACAATCCTGCCATACTCAGTGTACCCAAAACTACTCAGCTCTTACTGGATTTATTTATATTGTCTCATAATATTTCATTTGCTCAAAAGATTCAACAGCTAAAACCACTTCATCTAGAGTGACTGGTTTTGATATTCTTTCACATATGTGCATTTCAGAATCAACAGCACCCTTAAAACTTAACATTATACATTTTCTAGGTAAAATTTTAAGTCACATTAGGCTAAATAAATTTAAAACCGTGCAGCTAAAAACACAAAGTAGAATCTATGACATATTTCCTATGCTAAAATATAAAACCTAAGAAAACTTTTGCTTATGTGTCAGGCTATAAAAGGCTTTATTCATGTTAGTCATGTTAGTGTCTTTTATGCACTTTTTTTTAAAAAGATTTTCTTTGTGCCTCATTAATATTAGCAAATTGTCAACTACTAATAGTTTTCATGCTTAAAATCTTATTTAATTAGTTTCTTAGAGAAGTTGCTTCGTAAGCATTATCCCATTTCCAGATTGTTCCCACCCTTTAAGGCAAAGTCAGCAGTACACTGTGTTCATGCAGCTATTCCTGTCCCTCACCCATGGCAGGCATGATTACTCAATCATAGCCACATTCCTCCAAGCAGAATGGGCCTTAGAATCCTTCTCAACATAGTACTCCAGGCAATCAACAGAGAATGTATTGGTGCTATTGGGCAAATGAAGCGTATTACCATCTTGACCTTAAAGGTAGAAGACATAGCCCTCAGTTATCAATATGGGTTTTGACATCAGATGAAACTTCCTCTAGTCCAGACCTTTTTCCTATTCTTTAAATATTTTATAAATTTACCTAAGCAAAACCTAATTAAGATGGCAAATCCACTAATATATGCATATTAATTTAACCACATGAAATTGTCACTATTCAACCATTTTTGACCCATAAAAACAGTCAGTTCAACCTAATATATACATGTACACACACACATATGAAATATAGTGTGTTCCTCATACAAATAATCTGACAGCTATTTGCTTTGGTGGATGGAAACATTACTACTCTTCTACTCACTAAAATTAAAAAGGAATATATAATAGAGTTCATTTCCTATCTAATTACTGTAAAACAGTAAAAAGAGTCAAAAATAATTTAAATGCACTCTCAAAAGGCTGCAATCTACAACAATAATTACAAGTAAAATCACTGTAAAAGAGAAGAGCTACAGTATGAAGGTTTCTGTAGCACCATTGTGCTTTTGCTCATTTGAAATGGAAAAGAACCTACCCTGCAATGTTGGCCATGGAGCTTAGTGCATCATATCCCTGAGCAATTGTAACTCTTGGAACCTGGTCCATTGCCAAAACTGTAGTTTTTCTTTGGGAAAGTTTATTTAGCAACTCTGGATTTTGGGCTGGGTAAATAAAACTAATCAGTGTTCCCGATGTCTTTAAAAGGTCCGCTTCATGAACACCTAATGTTGGATTAACCATAGGGGCTCGCACCTGGGAAAAAAATCAAGTCACAGATTAAAAATATAAATACCTTAATCATATTTTTAACTAAACAGGAAAACTTAGATAATATGCTATGACTTAAATAATACTCCAGAAATAAATCTGCCATCAATAAATTTCTGACTAAAAAAGCACACACAGACATATACCATCTATCCCCTGCCTAATGACCTGTGGACTGGTCTGAGTAAAGGGTACACACACCTGGGAAATACAAAATACTGAGACTGGTTTGACAATTAACTGCAGAGAGGTGAAAAAATATATGGAAGCTCTCCAGCAAATCTGCAGTCCCCAAAACTTATTACCCTGGTAATATTAACAGATATTAGAATAAACAGACAGGAAGTTTTGCTGTGTGTTCAATCCTTCAAGCAAGATTAAATCCTTGCTAATTTTGGTAAGCATAAATATTTGGAGTGATGAGACATTAAGAACATTGTAAACTAAGTATAGATTTATGTCACTTTAAAATTCCAGGTGACTATTTATAGATGAACACAACTCACACCAGTAACCTTGCTGAATTGGGTTTAAGTCAAAAGCTACAATATATTTTGTTACGTTAAGAAGTATCAACTAAGTCAATGAATACACACTCCATATGCTTGAAAGTTTCCAATATCCACTTTTTAAAGCCAAATTTTTAAAATTGCATTTTAAATATATTTTAAAATATGTTTTATATCCAAGTTTAAAATCAACCTTCAAATAAAATATCCCATTTCATTAGTTCCCAGTTAGCAATAGTGCTTTTAGGCAAGTAAACACAGAAAACACAGCCTCTGGGACTTATGTTTTAAATACAAACACAAACATTGGGTCAATAAGTTTATCTCACAGCATTTCACCTCAATTTACCTATGAGACACCTTTGTCTGCTATTCCCATTTCAGTTGTTGATCTGGTGATGCATATGTTTCTAGGTTCTGGACTTTAATTAAGGCTCTCTGACAAGGTCTACTTTTCCTCCAAGAAAATCTATAACATAGATTTAGTAAAAGTTAGAAAACAACTCTGAATTAATTCTACTGGCCCCTATCAAATGCTCAGCTGAGACCGTTGTCATCTGAGTAAGTCAAGCCAATAGAATGTTTTCCTGAATGCGCTCCTCAGGATATTAACAGACTTGGCTCAAACAAGAGGCCCCCAAGATCAAGAAGTTTATTAACGCTAGTACTGTACAAGGTCATATAGTATTCTATGTTACAGTATTTCTGAGCACACCATTAACTGCTTATATACATTGTGAATCCCTAAAAGGAACACGTAGCATTTCCAAAGTGTAAACACACCCTTATAGGGCTTTTTCAAGACATCTCAAAAGATGATCTCTAGAATATATATGAGAATGAATTATACTTCTCTTTTCTCTAAGTAATTTTACTATATATTTAGTTATATTACCAAGTATTTGTAAACTTAAACCTTTAAAAAGCTTTAGCTGAGTTGCAGTTAACCCCCATACCACAAATTTTACTATTAACTTTCAATAGCAAAAATTGGTTTTATAACGTTAGCAAAAACCACCTGTCAAGTGTTAGGATTTTAAGGAAATAAAAAAACTATGTGATTGATACCTCATGGAAATTAATGTAGAAAAAAAGCTTGTATTTCCTGAAAAAAGTGAGTTACTTCCCTGTTTGCCTTGGTTGCAGGAGGCTTAGCATTTAATTTAATGCTCAACTCTAGTTATCATCTGTGCTAGACCCTTGATACAGTCTCTTCCCCTTACTCTAAAGGATTTTTTATTTCATATTTTAATTCTCAAGTCCTTTAGTATATAGATTTCTGTTATATATTACCTTAAGAACTTATTTTAAAGTAGGTAAAGCTACTTGCCACGCAGCCCAAAGCTGCTTTCTCCAAAATAGTCATGCCCTCTCTAGAAATAGCACTTATGTCAGTGTAAATCGTTGTGCCTTCAGGTGTCAGAAGATCACTGAACATTCAGTCCCAGACTAAGTTCCACACTTTCTTTCCATTCTAGCAGTAAATGTCCACGTGTGGGTATTCTGGATATATATGGACCATGTAGAACAAATTTTTCCTAGCCAATTAAAAGAAAATGTTCATATAGCAAATGTAAAAATGAAGATCACTTTTTCTTTCCTCATGGTTAAACATAGATCATATTGTCTGATAAAAGTTTTACTGGAGTATGAAGAATATGACAGCATGCAATCATTTCTTTGAGAAAAATACACTATTTGAAAATAGGAAAAGGTATAACTCCGGAGAAAGTAATTTAATTTTTCTATGAAAAGATTTTTAAAAGTTAGCATGCTATAAATGGGAGAGGAAAAAGGAATAATTACTTTGACCACCAAATCAGAAGCCAGCGCTTCCTTTGCCCCTTGGATTTGGGCACCTGCCGCTCTATAGTGATCATCTGAGAACTTGGAAGCTTCGCCCGCACCAGATTCCACGACAACATTAAAACCCTGCTTGACCAAGTTCTGAACGCCAGCAGGAGACAATGCCACTCGCTTCTCATTTTGGAATATCTCTTTGGGGACTCCAACAGTCAGTTGCTTATATGGAATTCCTACAAACAAGCAAAGGGAAAAAAAAAAATACATTTGGTAAAAAACAAACAAAAAATGTTTAAAAACAGTTTTCAGAAAACTGAAAGGGGCAATCTTTTCTTCAAAATACACCACACATGCAACCTGCTGTTCAGAATGATGTTCCTGATTCATACTTACAATTCTTTGACTTTTTTGATAGAGGATAAGAAACTTTTATGCCTAGTCTTCTGAAACTTCTGAATATTTTATTTAATCAATCGGCTTTCTTCAAGGAATATAACAAACTTAGCTGATTTGTAGGCAAAAAAATAGTGGGTTTAGAGATCCCTCCACATGCTGATTCCACTCTTCAAACTAAGCCCCTCCGGTTATGGTCTCCTTGTCCTTACTTTTAACAAAAATGGAAGTAACTAGCTATTTTGAAGAACAACTGTATCCTAGACATTTTGATGGCCTGCCACACTCAAAAGTTCCCTTCCAGGCAATTTGGCCATAGACAATGCCTCGTAAATTTCTAAGTGTTGTATTTTAAGATTTTACACACTCAGCCACTTAGACGAGGGATCAGCAACTGTGTCAAGGACAATCATCTACAGGGCAGATGAGGAAAACTAGCAGCTGCACCTTATGAGATGACTTAGACAGAAACTCTGTCCAAGGACACTATATATTGGCCAGTGACTACTCAACCCACTGGGTTCTCTCTCAAGGAGTTTGAATGGGAGACCCAGAGAAAGGGACAAGGACAGTAGATCAGTGCAAATGTTATTTGTAAGCACAGCTACGAGGTAATCAAAGGGAGGTCAGCAGTAACAGTGGCAGAAACATCAGTAGTAGATATTTAAAGAGACAAGATGGGTCGCAGCCACAAATTCCACAAATAACGTTCCGCTTATCCAAGGAGTAGATGGGGGGCTTCTGGGCCCTCACACTTGCCAAGAATCCACATAGCAAACCCTCATCACAAAATATAATTTGATGTGATTCCGTTTCTTGCAACCCAAAAAAGCCTATATAGTACAATCTTATATTTAGATATGGTTAAGACCATCTTTAGCTATAGGATATCAGTTTCTCCTGATGTTTTACTTAATATGCAGCATAAACATTTTTTAATGAAGAGTATCTGTTTCTATCTAAGGTTTATTAAAGCTTAGGAAACCCATTCTTGCAACCTAAGATCTGAATATGTATAATTTCAAAATGAATGAAATTATCCCTACAGAGTAACTTATTAAGTAAGACCTTAGAGAAATTAAGTCAACCTAGACCTGAATTTGAACACTGTCTTAGATTCCACACTACCTATACAGTAATAATTTACAGTACACAAAAGGCAAATAATGCTGAATCTTACTCCTTACTTGAAGGAGAGGAAGGAAAATAATAGAAAGCTGGCAAATATTTGGATTGACATACAACGCTCAATCACATACACTTATCTCAAGTTCACTTATCTGACAACTTCAAATTGTCAGGCTCTACATGGCAAAAGTAAGGAAGCTACCAAAGATGACTGAAGTCATGTCAAAAGGATTTAGAAGCCAATGTGAAAGGGCTTCCACTGACCAAATAAGAGATAATTTGAGCACATACAAGGGACAGAGAAACTGGCTAAACAATACCAACATAATTCAATCAGCCAAACCTAGAATGTTGTAAATTCCACACAGCAACAATGAAATTCTTCAGTATATTAAAAGGAAAAAAGAAGACAGGAACTTATAGACAAAAGAGACATAGCAAATGTGTGTGGACCCTGTTTGGATCACTCTTTGAACAAGCCAACTGTAAAGAAAAAGAGGAAGGAAGGAAGGAAGGAAGGGAGGAAGGAAGGAAGGAAGGAAGGAAGGAAGGAAGGAAGGAAGGAAGGAAGGAAGGAAGGAAGGAAGGAAGGAAGAGGCAATTGAAAAAATATGAATACTGACTATAGATGGAATTACTTACTATACTTTTCAGTATGGTAATGAACTTATGGTTATATTAAGGAAAAAATAGACTCCTTATCTTTCAGAGATAAAAATAATTGGGAAATAGTGAAGAACCAGAAATTAAACAAAAGTGTCTTATACATAATCAATACAGAGATCTTGATGTCCATGGATTTACTCACAAGGACAGTATTCATGTCTTCAACACAGTTATTTACCTTTATTTTATACACAATTTTATCACACAGGATAATCTGGCTTTCCAGAGCAGTTTAAAAGAAAGCATCTGAAGATAAAGTTGGAGGCTTACAGGGACAGATACCCTGCCAATTGTGACTTGTCATCCGAGAACAAGAAAAGAAGCTATAAAATCTATTCAAGGCAGACATAAAATCTCAAAACACCTAGCAGTTTAGGGGTCCTTAATGAATAAACAAATGGTCCTACAAACTTAAAAAACAAAAGAGGGCATTATTCTATGTGACAAAGGTTGCCCCCCAAGTATCCATCCTGTTCCTCCACCTTAATAAGAAAATGCCATTTTTAGCTGGGTACACTGCCATCTAGAATAAAAGACAAAATGTCCAAGTCTCCCTTACAGCTATAAACAGCTGCACGTCTGAGTTCTGGACAGTGAAGTGAAGTGACAGAAGTACTGGGATGGTCTTCGGGCAAGACTGATGAAAAAGAGTTGACTTGGTTTAGAAGGGCCCCTTTTAGCCTCTCCTCCTTCTGGCCTGTACCCCAGAACAGAAGCAAGTAGACATCCTATCAGGGAAGGCCTTGTAGGCCACTGGAAGACTTCAGATCTTCCTCTGTAAGAGTTAGGAAGCAAGTGGCAAATTTTGAGTTAAGGAGTGACCTGATTGTACATTTTAAAAAGATTATTCTCACTGTCCTGTGCAGAACAGACTGTAGGAGGCAGAGGTAAAAAGCACAGAGACCGTGTAGAAGACTGGTGCATCAGTACAGGTGACAGATGATGATGGCTTGGACCAAGATTATAAAAGTAGCAATGGCAAGAAGAGGACAGATTGTAGATATGAGATAGAGCTGACCCATACCTACTAGGAGAATGTAGAATGACTCCAGGGTTTCTGACCTGAACAACTGCAATCAAATTGCTACTTACTAAATTGGAAAGCATTAATGTAGACCAATTAACATACTTAATTCCTAATTCCTGAGCAAAGTTGACCCGTATATGGTACAATTCTCAAATACTAACAAGGAATTAGAAAGGGCTTCTAGGAGAAATGGTTACTATGAGCAATAGGCTCCAGGGACAAGTCAACTGGTTTATCCTTTTCGTTTGTTTTTCTATTACCTTTTCTTCTCTGTTAGCGCTGGAAATCAGGAACGTCTATAGTATATGGAAAACACAAGATAGCACTTACTTATTTTTTGTTTAAATGATCACTCACAAGCACCAGGCCATAAAACTACATGGCTTTGGCTGGATGTGGTGGCTCACGCCTGTAATCGCAGCACTTTGGGAGGCCGAGACGGGCGGATCACGAGGTCAGGAGATCGAGACCATCTTGGCTAACATGGTGAAACCCCATCTCTACTAAAAATACAAAAAATTAGCTGGGTGTGGTGGCGGGCACTCGGGAGAGTGAGGCAGGAGAATGATGTGAACCTGGGAAGTGGAGTTTGCAGTGAGCCAAGATCGCGCCACTGCACTCCAGCCTGGGAGACAGAGTGAAACTCCGTCTCAGAAAAAAAAAACAAAAAACAAAAAAACACTACATGGCTTTTCCTTTTATCGATCATCAGATCTATTAGTTCCTATGACTTGAAGGTTTCATTTACAATCACTGAAGTGAGACTTTACCTGGTTTTACAGGCGCTTTACACCACAGTTCTTGGTGAGTATGAAATGTTCGTAAAAAATCCTTCTTCACATGTAGACCCTTACAGGACCCCAAATTGCTAAGTAAAGGACACGAGCAGCCAGTCACCAGTGTTTTCAGTAGGCTTGCCATGCTGATATGAGTTTCCAATTTTCTGACTCCCCAGTTTCCTTCAAGGCAAATCACTAAGAAAAAAGAAAATAGGATGTTTATATGCCAAGAAAAAAACTATCTGTCTTTTAAACATGAAAAACATTTTAAAAATACTAATCTAAAGAATTTGAAATATAACAGTTGTATGTAGACATCTACAAAGAATTTTATTTGTCAAGTTTGTTACTTACAGAAGATGCTCAAAATTCGTTTTCCAGTTCAGGCATTTAAAACTTGGAATCCATTTTCGCACTAAAATTGGAGTTCTAAACTCACTATTCAATTCCAAACCTAGGTCATATAATCTATTTGATCCTTAATGTAGCTGGAAAGCTTAAATACACACACATATTGCTACAGAATCAAGTCATATTTTACATGAAAGTTATCTCCTAAGTCAGCATGTCCAGCAAAAAGTGCATGTAATTCAGTTACCTTTGAATTTCCCTTAAATTACCTAAAATACTGTACAGTACAATGGTGACTTGCATTTAGCCACCAGGTCATACTGAATACTCTGACATCCTATTCAGTGCAGCAGGATGCTTATCCACTGAGACCTCTGAACTGAGGCTGAGTGAGTGAGTGAACACAAGATTCATGTTTGCCAAGTGTACCTCTCAAGAAAATTAAACACGCATGACATATGACTCTAAGAAAAGAAGAAAGAAAGAAAAATTCCATAGTATCTTTATCAAATAGGCTTGTGCTTGCAGATGTGGCCGTTTAACTATGAACACTTTTGTCAGTGGTTCTCACAAATGGCCACTTTTTGCCAGTTCTAACCAGGCTGGGTGAAGCGTCACTGGATTTTGTTGTTACTAAGGCTTCAGGAACTACCTCCACCTCCACCACATTCCTCAGTAGATCCCCAGGGATGCATGAAAGGCACTCCCGCTGTCCCCATAATTCCCAACGGTCTTCCATACCTTTCTCTTCTTTCTTTCAAGAATGGAAAGAAGCCAGGCACCGTGGCTTATGCCTGTAATCCCAGCACTTTGAGAGGCCAAGGTGGGCAGATCACGAGGTCAGGAGTTCGAGACCAGCCTGACCAACATGGTGAAATCCCATTTCTTCTAAAAATACAAAAATTAGCCAGCCCTAGTGGCTGGCACCTGTAATCCTGGCTACTCGGGAGGCTGAGGCAGGAGAATCGGTTGAACCCAGGTGGTAGAGGTTGCAGTGAGCCGAGATTGCGCCACTGCACTCCAGCCTGGGTGACAGAGCGAGACTCCGTCTCAAAGAAAAAACAAAAAGGAATGGAAAGAAGCCAAGGACTTAGAACTTTATTAGCCAAACTCAGCTAACACTGCTAACTCTGCCTGTAAGTTCTGCTGCATCATGTGGACCCTCACGGGACTGAGCACCTAATCCTAGTAGGCTCTGTAAACCTTCTTCCAGACTCCAGAGGGAGAAAGACTTAGCTCATTTTTAATTTCAGAACTGCTGCCACTGGCCAGGCATGGTGGCTCATGCCTGTAATCTTAGCACTTTGAGAGGTGTTGGCAGGTAGATTGCCTGAGTTCAGCAGTTCAAGACCAGCCTGGTCAACATGGCAAAACCTCATCTCTACTAAAAATACAAAGAATTAGCCGGGCATTGTAACGCGCATCCATCCATGTGAAGAGACCACCAAACAGGCTTTGGGTGAGCAAAAAGGTTGTTTATTTTCACTTAGGTGCAAGTGGGCTGAGTCTGAAAAGAGAGTCAACAAAGGGAGACAGGGGTGAGGCAGTTTTATAGAATTTGGGTAGGTGGTGGAAAGTTGCAGTTAAAGGAGGTTTTCTCTTGTAGGCAGTGATGGGGGTCACAAGGTGCTCAGTGGAGAGCTCCTGAGACTCATTGCCCAGGAGAAGGAATGTCACAAGGTCAATTGATCAGTTAGGGTGGGGCACGAACAAATCACAATGGTGGAATGTCATCAGTTAAGGCAGGAACTGGCCATTTTCACTTCTTTTGTGGTTCTTCAGTTGCTTCAGGCCATCTGGATAAATACGTGCAGGTCACAGGGGTTATGATGGCTTAGTTTGGGCTCAGAGGCCTGACAGAAGTGATGGTGTATACCTGTAGTCACAGCTACTCACGAGGCTGAGGCACGAGAGTCACTTGAACTTGCGAGGCAAAGGTTACAGTGAGCCAAGAACATGCCACTACACTCCAGCCTGCCAGCCTGGGCAACAGAGCAAGACTCTATCTCAAAAGAAAAAAAAAAAAAAAAAAAAAAAAAAACCTGCTGCCACAACTCCCTGAAGAAACATCTTTAAAATACCAGAAAGCATCATTGGTAATGGAAATTTTTAAACCAGAGAGCATTTATTCATAAGATGCCCCTTAATTCAACAAATATATACCAAGGACAGAGTTTTGCCATTAAGAAGCACTTGTAGAATCAAACTGAAATTTTCCTGGAGATAAGAAGTCAACAAATAATAATACTACAAAGTAGAGTAACACAAGCTCAGAGTCCTTTGAAGGATCAAAGAATGAGATTGTGTCCTCTCTGAGAGCTCAGAAAAGGAAGGAAAAGCCATTTGAGATGAAGAGAATCAAATGAAAAATAGCTAAGGAAGAAAGAATGCAAGATGTGTTTTGGCATGCAATTAAAAATATGTATGAATAATTCTTTGCATTTGGACAGACAGTTTTACATATTCAAAGTGTTTCCACACATCATGTCATTTCATTTCAGTCCTAAAGTATTCTCAAGTCCCAAAAATACCCTATTCATTCGTTCATGGGTCACATCTAGAGTTATCACGGCTGAGAATAAAGAGAAAATTAGTTCAAAATTCAGCTACATATTCAAAACCTCTACTGAATCTATACCAAGAACTAAGGGAGATGCAAAGATGTGTAAAAGATTATTCTTGTCTTGAGTGAGATTTTTTTCCCCTACCGTTACTGAGTGACCTACTCCTATCCCAACCTCCCTGCTTACCCAAGTTTCTCTTCTTGGATCATCCCAACTCCTCAACAACCACCATTTTTATAGGGGTGACCAAGAGTTCCCAGACCTCATCAGCAAAAGAGTGAACTGAGCTTTATAGAGTCCTGTATTGTCCGAATCTGCCACTCACTCACTGTTCAACCTGAACCTCCCCATGCCTCAGTTAGCTCAACTATAAAAAGAGCACAAGTTTCAAAGGCCATTTTAGGCTCTAGAAATTTTACAATTAGATGAGACTTTGTAATGTTATAAAACTGAAGTCCTATTTCAGGGCCTGAAATCTGGAAAATTTGTTCCTACGACTTGGAAAATGGTAATTTGATGTTCAGCAGATCCCTGGCTGAAAAGCCTTCATAGGCCAATTTCTGTGAAAAATTCCACTTGATTCAACTATGAACATACAGGGCAGAGAGATCAGGAGGTCATTTCTTGGCAAGAGCAGTACATATCACTAAGTCTAAACCAAATACAAATGGCCCTGAAAGATAGAGAATATTTAAGCTATCTTATCATTGGCCTGTACAGGTTTATATGAAAGATAATACTCCATCTTAATCATCACATTTTCCTCCATCTTCACTATAAAGCTCTCATTTATCCATGTGCTCCTGTGGCTTTGAAGCAATAAGAAAAAAACTTTATAAGTCAAAATTAGGAGGGAAAAAAAACACAACTATTTTAGCATTGCTTTCATATGTATGTTTAATGTAACTTATATGGGCTATTTCCCCTATTAGATATTAAAATCCTTGAGGGCAAGCACCCAACCTACAGAGGGAGGATACTACAGATATTTAAGAGAGTCAGCTCCGGATCTGTGGATTGGAAACCCCCACTCTACAACTTATTGGCTGTGTGACCTTGGGAAGTCACTTAACTTCTCTGTACTTAATTTCCTTATCTTTAAAATGGAGAATAACAGCACCCAGCCAGGGTGGTGGCTTGCCTATAATGCCATCTCTTTGGGAGGCTAGTGGGGAGGACTGCTTGAGGCCAAGAGTTCAAGACTAGCCTGGACAACATAGTGAGACCCCCATTGCTGGAAAAAAAAAAAATTAATTAGCAGGGCATGGTGGTACAAGCCTGAAGTCCCAGCTACCTGGGAATCTGAGGTGGGAGAATCGCTTGAGCCCAGGAGTTCCAGGCTCTAGTGAGCCATGATTGTGCCACAGTACTCCAGCTTGGACAAAAGAGCAAGACTTGAAAAAATAAAATAACAGCACCTACCTCTCAGGGTTGTTGCCAGGATTGAGAATATCCTTATGAGCTGTTATATTCACTTTGGTATTACTTCTCCCCCAGTGCTTTGCACAACACAGAGGAAGTCAGTATCTTTGACTAAATGAATGAATAGGGCTAGGTAACCTTAAGCGTAAGTACCTATTGAGCACATTTTCCAAGGATTTTCAGAAAATTTCCTTTGAAAAGGAAATGTTTGTGTAGCCTTGTGGAAAACTGATTCTATCAGCAAAGGTAAGCAGCCTGAGCGCACCTGCTGGAAAGAAGGTGATCCTAAACTGTCTGTTAATAAAAAGTCAAGGTTTGCAAATAAAAGGGGTACAATGGAGATGAGGGGCACACTTTAAATAAGAAGAGTAGGTAGGCACCTAAGCCCCACGCGCTGTTCCGAATAAGTCTGTCCTACAAGACTCCTGACAAACAGACCACCTAAGGACTGGCCAGCACCGCAAGGTGAATAAAGGACATCGGCAACCATAAACAAGTCACGCTTTTAAAAGCCAGACATACCAGCAAGGACACAATACCCTACTGAGCCAGCTTCACCCAAAGCCACCGGTGTCACGGCTACTGCCACCGGTGCCGCCCCTTGCTCAGCAACTAACTGCCACCCGCTGGCATCTGCACGAGACCGCTATTTATAACCTCCCTAGGAAGCCGATTGGCCAGGGCTGTAAATAGTCATTCCGGCTGTTGAGTTTGAACTAGCTCTGCCCAGGTCGCCCTCTCCGCTGTCTCTTCCTCCTCACCAGCCTAGGCCCCAGAAACTTGCAACCACCACCGCCTGACCGCCCCGACTCACACTCACAATTTGTGCTCGCAATCTCCTATGTCCCCAGCCGGACACCCTCTCCGAACTCCCTCAAGGGTCAAGGATACCTCAGGTGCATCCAGCTGCCACCTCTCTGGATGAACCGCCCATCGAAAGTCCTCTATGACCTCCCTCTCCACCAGCCCCCATTTGCAGGCCGAAATGACGCCGTACGACTCTCGCTGTCCCCCAAAGCTACAAATATCTGCACCTGCACAGCTGCCGCCTCATTCCCTGCCCCTCTGCGGGGGCCCAGTTCCCAAATCCACCCGCCCACTCCCTGCGACATCTCCCTAGCAGGAGACGAGAAAGGGACCCCAAGAGGCACGGTTCTTCTTCCCCATTTAGGCCTGCGGCCTGCGGACACCCCAGTGCACCCTGTGCCCAGGACACCGCCGACCCCGCCCCCCCTTTGCTCTTTGACAGGTCTCACTCCAGGCGAGGGCTGTGGTCTTCAGGGAAGGCCCGAGCCCCTTTCCCAGTTGCGCCCTAGGCGCGCGCCCCAGCTGCCCGCACCCGCCAGTGCCGCCGCGCTCACCTGGGCCGGGAGGCTGACAGCCTTGGGCTGTGCCCTGAGGGCCGCGAGGGGACGTTGCGCTGGCAGACCCGGGCTTGGGCCCCGCGGCGCTGAGCCTCCAACCCGGAAGAACAGCCCCAACTCCGCGGCTGCCAGCGGCCACGTGACGGCAGCTCTGCTCCCACCTCGGCCCGCGCCCCTTCCCCGTCCCTGCTTTCTTCCCGCCAGGCCCCCTCCACCCGATCGCCGCGCGCTCTCGGGACCAAAAGGCGACCTCACCAAATGCCCCCTTTGAGTTCAAAGGCTAGGTACCCCCAGGGGCCCTTCCACTCCCGGGGACAGCCAAAACCTCTTTGTCTCTGCCGCGGCCCGCGGCCCCCCGCCCCGCCTCCGCGCTTTCCCTCCGCCAGTCCTTGTCAATCAAACCTGGAACCAAACGCGGCAGCTGAAGTTCTCAGGGACACATTTGCTTCTCCCCCTGAAGAACCAGTTACAAAGCATGAATTCCTCTCTGAGGTCCCATCAGAACAAAGAAACAGGTAATATAACTCCACTCTGGGTACCTGCCTTTCCTCCAGCTCTCTAGGAAAAATCAGAACTTCTGTAACAGGAGAGGACGCAAGGGAAAGGGGCAGGAGGAGAAGGGTTGGTGAAGGGCGGGAATGGGGGCGTTGATTTTCCATTCTGGCAGGAGAGGTGGAGTTAAATTCCTCAGAAACAATGTCCAGGCTTGAAAAGTAACACACATCTGCGTGCTTGTCTTCCAGCACCAGAGCCAGCCTAGAGGAAGCTGGCTAGTGTCACTGCTAGTACGAATATCCCCGAGGCTGGAAAGCACCCCGGGTGGATGTTGTGAGCTTTCCAGACCAGGCCTTGGCTGTTTTTGTAAAACTGTTAACCGTAATGACCTAGTCGTTCTTTTCACACAGTTCTGTTACTTATTCTGCAGGTGTATTCTGACTAAAAGTGGGAGGAATAAAAAAAACAGAGTGTAAAATGGTTCACTTGCCCAAAACTTAATCATCATGAGGTGTCAGTAACGTCATTTCTTTCTATTAATTGAAATTTTGATACAAGTAAAATAATTATGACTCTAAAAGGCATAAGCAGAACAGGTATTCCATATCTTTAAAAAGAAAGGAGCCGCAGGGAAACCCTTAGTTTGAGAACTTGTCTTGTGATTAACCTACACAGAAGGTCATTCAACTAATGGATTCCCACTGCAGTCCAAACTCACAGACAGGAAATGACACAGCCCCATGTTTTAAAATAATAATGAGCCGAGTTAAGTGTGACCATAGGGAGGGTTACCAGATACTAAAGGTACAATGAAGTGGGATTAGTAATGGATAAGGATTTTCAACTAAGTTATTGATTTAAAACTTTTTGTGGGGGTCTGAAGTTGCTGCTTTGTCTTTTAGGGATTAATAATTCGTGGTTCCCAACTGGGCACAATTTACATCCAAGGGATATTTGGCAATGTCTAGAGACATTTCGGTTGTCACAACTGGAGAGGGGACATATCTAATGGGTTGGGGCCAGGGATATTACTGAACACCTCTCACTGCACAGCCCCTCACAACAAAGCATTATCCAGCCCCAAATGTCAATAGTGCTGAGGCTGGAAAATCCTGGCTTAAATTAATGCTCAGTACATTATTTAATTTAACTTGCTTATAAGTTTATACCACATGAAAACAAACTCAAAGATAACATACTATTTTTTCACTTTTGAAAACGGTGAATGGTAGGCATATGATACTTTTAATAACAAGCATGTGATTATTTTATTCTGCTTACTTGTACAACATAATTTGGGTGCTATTCCTTCGGGTGAAAACATTTGTCATTTGAAATGCTCTGTTTCAGTCCTTAAGCTTCTACGTGTAATTACAGCGTGTTATTCATAAAGGGAGTCCCCAGTGAAAATAGGACTAAGTTACAAAAGTTTGCTTTTAAGTTAGTTGCTTCTAAGTCTTAGACACTGTCTTGAATAAAATTTTTGTAGAGATTTGATATTCCCTATTAAGTTGTAAGGGCCTTTCCCACTCTGACATCTACTCTTTCCTCCCTGACTACCTTGACTTGCAAACTCCTATTTTAAAATATTACCTCTCACATATGTGTAAGTTTTCATTACAGATTGTTCTATTATTGAATAATTTTTAAAATATTTTAAAATTAGGATTAATATCAAAATTTAAACCCTTTGTAGTTTAGTTTTTGTAGTCACAAATGCTTAAAAATAGTTTTTAATAATTAGAGTTCTAATCTACCAGAAGCAAAAAGAATGAAATATTTACAATACTATAATATACCATATGGATCTGCTTTAAAGCCTAAAAACCAGAGAGGTGCCCAATAGCCAAAAATCAAAACACAGGCTGAACCTGAGAAGACATGTAATCAAAAACTGACCTCTAGTGATGGCTTGTTACCAAAACCCAGCATCTAAGTAAAATCAGGCTAAAGAAAAGGTAGCTTTAATGTCTTCTCGTTGTGGTTATTATGTTAAATGGTTATTGACAATTTATTGTCTCAGCTTCCCTTTTATAAATAATTATTAGTAAAGTGAACAACCCCAGAGAGATAGGACTCTTTAATTTCAGTGTGTCTAATAATGCAGACACTCAACAGGTTTTAAAGGAAACCATCACTAACCTTAATCTTAGCCCTCTTCTCCCAGGCTGACTAATCAAGAGTGTTTGATTTTAGGAAACAAATGTTAACTGACTAAATGAGCTGATGTTAATCAACATTAACTGGAAGAAAAAAGAGAACCGATATTAAAGAGCCAGCACAAAGTTCAATAATTGGCATTTGTTTAAGCTACATAAGTAAAACCAGTTTGCATTTGAAATTTTTGTGAGCATCTAAAAAACTAGCTCATAGCATACTACTGTGAATATTGTCCTTTGCATATAATAAGTACGAATTACAAAAACCTATGGATTTTTTTTTTTTTTTTTTTTTTTTTTGAGACAGAGTCTTACTCTGTTGCCCAGGCTGGAGTGCAGTGGCTGGATCTCAGCTCACTGCAAGCTCCGCCTCCCAGGTTCACACCATTCTCCTGCCTCAGCCTCCCAAGTAGCTGGGACTACAGGCGCCCACCACCTCGCCCAGCTAGTTTTTGTATTTTTTAGTAGAGACGGGGTTTCACCGTGTTAGCCAGGCTGGTCTCGATCTCCTAACCTCGTGATCCACCTGTCTCGGCCTCCCAAAGTGCTGGGATTACAGGAAACTTATGGATTTTTAAATCAATATAAAAAATTGGCCGGGCACCGTGGCTCACACCTATAATCCCAGGACTTTGGGTGGCTGAGGCAGGCAGATTGCCTGAGATCAGGAGTTCAAGACCAGCCTGGCCAATATGGTGAAACCCCATCTCTACTAAAAATACAGAAATTAGCTGGGCATGGTGGCAGGCACCTGTAACCCCAGCTACTTGGAAACCTGAAGCAGGAGAATCGCTTGAATCCGGGAGGCGGAGGTTGCAAGTGAGCCAAGATCACGCCATTGCACTCTAGCCTGAGTGACAAGAGCACAACTCCATCTCAAAAAAAAAAAGAAAAAATAAATAAATTATGCTGCTATAAGGACACATGCACACGTATGTTTATTGCAGCACTTTTCACAATAGCAAAGACTTGGAATCAACCCAAATGTCCATCAGTGACAGATTGGATTAAGAAAATGTGGCACATATACACCATGGAATACTATGCAGCCATAAAAAAGGATGAGTTTGTGTCCTTTGTAGGGACATGGATGCAGCTGGAAACCATCATTCTTAGCACACTATCACAAGAACAGAAAACCAAACACCGCATGTTCTCACTCATAGGTGGGAACTGAACAATGAGATCACTTGGACTCGGGAAGGGGAACATCACACACCGGGGCCTATCATGGGGAGGGGGGAGTGGGGAGGGATTGCATTGGGAGTTATACCTGATGTAAATGACGAGTTGATGGGTGCAGCACACCAACATGGCACAAGTATACATATGTAGCAAACCTGCACGTTGTGCACATGTACCCTACAACTTGAAGTTTAATAATAATAAATAAATAAATTAAAAAAAAAATAGAAAATTATCTGTGTAATCATAGTTTAGGGGGTCTGGGAAGCTGGTGAGGAGTAGAAGCTATGTTAGTTTCCTAGGGCTGCTGTGAGAAATTACCACAAACTGGATGGCTGAAAACAACAGAAATCTTTTCTATCACAGTTCTGGAGGTCAGAAGCCCAAAACGAAGGGGTTGGCAGGGAGGATTCCTTCTGGAAGTATTGAGGGAGAAACCATCCCATGCCTCTGCCAGAGCTTCTGTTGGTTGTCAGCAGTCCTTGGTGTTCCTTGGCTTATAAATGCAGCCAGTCTCTGCCTCCATCTTCACATTGCCTTCTTCTCTACGTGCCTGTGTCCAAACCTCCCTCTCCTCTCTCTTATAAAGATACCAGGGCCGGGCGCGGTGGCTCAAGCCTGTAATCCCAGCACTTTGGGAGGCCGAGACGGGCGGATCACAAGGTCAGAAGATCGAGACCATCCTGGCTAACACAGTGAAACCCCGTCTCTACTGAAAAATACAAAAAACTAGCCGGGCGAGGTGGCGGGCGCCTGTAGTCCCAGCTACTCGGGAGGCTGAGGCAGGAGAATGTCGTAAGCCCAGGAGGCGGAGCTTGCAGTGAGCTGAGATCGCGCCACTGCACTCCAGCCTGGGCGACAGAGCAAGACTCCGTCTCAGAATAAATAAATAAATAAATAAATAAATAAATAAATAAATAAATAAAATAAAAATAAATAAATAAATAAAGATACCAGTCAGTGGTCTTAAGGACCACCCTAAATCCAGAATGGTTTCTGTCTTGAGATCTTTAACTAATGACATCTATGAAACCTGTATTTCCAAATAAAGGTGGATACAAATACTTTGAAGGGGGACAGTATTCAGCCTACTACATGGGCATTCTGTGTGTTTAAGGGTAACACACTGTAAAGAGGGTTTTGGGGGGTTTTTTGAGGGGGGGAGTTTGTTTTTTGAAGAGGGATGGATTTGCCAGTTCTTGAATTTAAAGTGAAAATCCAAATTATTTGAGGGAAATTCAGTTGAAAGTCATTTTATATTAATAATTGGGGAAAATTTTCCTTAGTTATATACCTGGTTTACTGGTTTAATAAACACTCAACCTAATTGAAATTTTCCTGCAATTTTTATATATCATATATTTATCACCATTATCAAGCTACTTGATTATAAAACTCCATAATAGTGTTTGATAAAAGAACTTCAGCCAAATTCAATTTAAAAGAGTTTAATTGAGCAATGAACCATTCATGAATTGGGCAGCCCCCAGAATCAGCAGATTCACAGACTCCAGGGCTGCCTTGTTGTCAGAACAAATTTATAGACAAAAAAGGTAAAGTGATGTACAGGAATTGGAAATGAGGCACAGAAACAGTGACATTGGTTACAGCTCAGTGTTTGCCTTATTTGAATGCAGTTTGAACATTCAGTAGTCTATGAGTGGTTGAAGTACAGC